GAGGCCCAGGAGGTGGACCGAACAGGCCCCAAGAGGCCCCCGCAAGGCCCCTGAGAATCCCCCAAGAGGCTCCCCGGAAGCCTCAAAAAGGCCCCAAGGGGACCTCAAGAGGCCTCATCGTCGTTCACCCTCCTCCGCCTGCTCCTACGTATCCTCCCTATCATCGTTTTTCTCGTCCTCCCCCCAGTGTCCCCCAAGGAGTTACACAACGGCTGGAGGAGCACCTGGTCCAGTAGTTTGGCTAGACTACGGCCCAACGATCGGCAGCATGGGCGTTTCCAAAAGGCAGCGGGCGGTGATGGTTCGACATAGGCATATCCGATCATCGATGACATCGTTATCGTCATCGGCGTCAGCAGCAGCAGCAACATCACCATCACCACCACCACCACCACCGTCATCATAATCATCATCATCATCATCATCACCACCACCACCACCACCACCATCATCATCATCATCATCAGCAGCATCGTGATCATCATCACCATCATCACCATCATCATCATCAGCAGCAGCATCAGCATCATCATCATGATCAGCATCATCATCATCAGCAGCACCGTCGTCATATTATTATGTGTCGTACTTTCATGGTTATCCGTAGTATGATTGATATTACAAGTTTTCAAAGTATACCATTATCAGTGATACCTATCAGTATGCTTCTTCTTGATCATTATCATCATCAGAATCATCAGAATCATCATCATCATCATCACCACCATCACCATCATCAGCAGCATCATCGTCACCGTAATCGTCGTCATCTTCATCGTCGTCAACAGCATCATCAACATCATCAGCATCATCGTCATCATCCTCATCATCTTCAGCATCAGTATCAGCATCATCATAATCATCATCAGCAGCATCGTGACCCGCACCAGCATCAGCATCATCATCAGCATCGTCATCGTCAGCATCATCACAATCAGCAGCAGAAGCGCAGCACCATCATCGTCATCATCATCAGCAGCGTCATCAGCAACATCATCATCAGCAGCGACAGCATTATCATCATCAGCAGCAGCATCAGCAGCATCGTCGGCAGCTTCATTATCATCATCAATATCATGATCAGCATCATCATCAGCGTCATCATCATCATCATCAGCATCGTCATAAGCATCATCAGAATCATCATCATCAGCAGCATCATCATCATCAAATCATCATCGTCATGATCATCATCAGCAGCATCATCCTTATCGCCAGCATCACCATCAGCATCAGCATCAACACCATCATCATCAGCATCAGCAGCATCACCATCGTCAGATTCAATCATCATCATCAGCATCAGCAGCACCATCAGCATCATCATCGTCATTACCATCATTATCATCATCAGCATTATCACCATCGTCATCATCATCATCGTCATCGTCATCGTCATCATCAGCATCATCATCGTCAACATCATCATCATCAAAATCAAAATCATCGTTATCATCAACATCATCATCAGCAGCAGCATCATCATCGGCATCATCAGCATCATCATCGTCATTATCAGCAGTATCATCATCAGCATCAGCATCATCATCTTCATCCGCAGTATCGTCATCGCCATCATCATCCATAATCATTATCACTATCATCAGCAGCATCTTCATCATTACCATCACAGCCACCACCACCACCATCGTCACCGCCGCGGCCGTCGCCGTCGTCGTCGTCGTCGACGTGGTGGTCGTGCTCGCGGTCGCGGTCGTCGTCGTGGTGGTCGTCGTCGTCCACCTCGTCCTCCTCTGTTTCTCCGCTTGTTGTCGTTCACTCCTCCTCCTCCTCATCAATATCATTGCTGAGATCGTTATCATATTGAATGCGATCATCATAACCACCTTCACCAATTTGAACCTCATCATCGTCATCAACATCAGTACACAAAATATCTGCATCAGTATCCGTGTGGATATCCCCACAATGATCACCACCTACTTTCATCCCTTTCATCCCTTCTGTTACCGTACACCTCCCACAACGCTCGGAGGTTCCACGGGATCAACCCTGGCCTCTTGCCTGCCCTCCCCACGCCGATCAGGCTGACCTAATCAAAGGCAACCCTGATTGCTAGAACGCCGTTTCTCGACTGCGGGCCTTGTGAAGGAACACATCCTACGGGAACCACGCGATCCAAACTGAGCGCGGCGAACGACACATCTGAAGACCACTTCGACGTGGCATCGGACCCACACGCGCCCGTTCACCAGTCCAAACTTGCATGCGCCGTCCTCCTGGACCTGCAGAGCGAGCTTCTTTCCGAACCGCATGGCGAGGCCCCACAAGCCCGCCGACAACTACAAGGCAACCGCAGCGCGGCTACCGCAAGGGATGGCCCCGACGAAGCAGTTCCGGCTTCCCTGTGACGCAGCGGGAAATGGATGTTGAACAGATCGAGTGGGATACGTAAGAGCAGCACGCCGATCCAATATCTGCCACACTGCTGGAAAGAAATCCTCATGCAGAGATGCGTACAAATCAGACGACGACGAGGCACTGTCAACACAGAGATATATGCGCAAAGGAATACGTACACGAGTCACTCGGCAATGCTGCTGGTCGCATCATGGTACCAGCGAGCATCGACAATGACGGCCACTCACAATCCGAGGGGCCCTCTTTCGACGGGCTATCCGGGTACGGATGCCGGGATGACCAACTCGGTACGAACCACCGAAAATGACACCCCACGGTGATTTGGCGCTGTTGTTTGACAGGGGCGACAGGGGTGTCAGCATCTTGCCCCACGTGTGCAGACCCACCATCCCTATCAAAAACCGATGCCAAGTGCACGTTGCGGTAAAATCTTTGACCACGCGCGGGCGCCCCGCTATCATTTTGCAGCGTTTTTTTATCACAGGGAGGACGGCGGTGCCCTGGCACGCGCGGCACACCTCGCGGGCGTGGCACACGTGGCTGGCATCGGCACGACTGCCCGATGGTTGTCGATGGCGGCTGAGCAACAAATCCTGGAAACGTAGGACACGAACCCCGGAACGCGCACGCGCGAGCCCTGGAAAGCCCCGCCACGCGAACCCTGGACGCCAAAAAGACCACCCACGGAATCCAAAAGGAAACCATCCCCGGAAACTGAGAGACGACAGCGACCAAGACGGCAACAACGACGAACGCCGAACGACGCCGGCGAGGAGGACAAAGACGACGACAGCGACAGCGGAAACACCAACGATGTCCCGACTCCTCACGGTAGCCCTGCCCAGTTTTTGCATCCGCACCTGACCGTGGCGAACCGAATCCCGCACCTCGGGACCACAGCCACTCGAACTGGAGAGGGGGCGAACGCGACCAAACGCCTTGAACCTCAAAGTTCCCCATCCTCCCGCCTCAAAATCAACATCTACACCCATGCAGGCACGTCTGGACAAGAACTTCGAAGTCAATCCCACCGTGGAAAACGCGGCAACAAAAACGCCCAAGTGCCCCCGAAAACCCTACATCACCTCGAAATTCGGGATTTGGACGTCGATCCAAGAAACGACGAAAACGACGACGACGACGAAGACAACGACGACGACGACGACGACGAAGACGACGAGGACGACGACGACGACGACGACGACGACGACAACGACGACGACGACGACTACAACTGCGACGGCGACGACGACTACATGACGACGACGACCACGACGACAAGACAACGACGACGACGACGACCACGAAGACGACGACGACGACGACGACGACGACGACGACGACGACGACAAGGCGACGACGACGACGACGACGACGACGACGACGACCATGAACGAAGGACGACGGACGACGGACGAGCGCCCGGCCCTCTCGCCAAGCGGAACCCCAAGGAAATGGGCCCTACCAAACGCGTGGTGACACTAGCTTAAACCTTACTCTCAAGGGAACTGGGCCCCAGGCGAGGAGGAACAGCAGCAGGGCGGTGATGACGATGATTTGCATCGCGTGCATCGCGCGCGTCGGCGCGCCACCACGACGGTCCGCTGGTCTCCTTGAGACACGGCGCCGGCGCTATCCGCCAGGCGCCTCATAAGGCGGCCAAACATCCAGTGCAGGGAGGCACCGCGTGGGCTTCCAAAGAACGGCCCAGCTCGAATCCAAAACGGCGTTTCAGCCCCCACGGGGGAAAAAGGAGAAGAGGGGGAAAAGCACAGCAGAGGCAAAGCAAAGAAGGGGAAGTTCGCAGTGGGCCCCTGGTAAGCGAGCGGGCCAAACGCTTTGGCGAACAAGTAAGCCCTCTCACCAAGCAGAACCCCAAGGGAATTGGTCCTACCGAGCGAGCGGTGGCACTGGCTGCGCCCACAGAGAACTGGGCCTCGGGTGAGGGAGCAGCGGCAGGATGGTGATGACGATGATGTTCATCACTCGCGTCGGCGCGCCACCACGGCGGTCCGTCGGTCTCCTGGAGCCACATCGCCAGCGCCGCTATCCGCCGGGCGCTGGGCCCCGCCGCTGAACGACCTCCGCAAAAATTCGAAGACTGGCCGCGGGCGACCCGGCAGTGGCACCCACTGCACACCACGGCGCCGCACACTCCAATGGCGCGTCGAGAACAGCTGCACGGGCAGCCGGGAGCTGCGCGAGTTGGCTGCAGCTCGCTCTTCGGTTCGCCAGCGGCCGCAGCCGGCCCGCATGCCAACCTCCACGGCCGTCACGCGCCCAGCACGCCGGGCACGTCTGCCGGCGCGTCGGCGGCGGCCACCACGGGGCGCTCGCCTGGCGCCTCACGCGCCAAAGTCACCCCTGGGCATCCTTGGTCGCTCTCGTCGTCAGCTCCGAGCGGTCCGAGGCCATCCGCATGGGTGCCCCGTTCACGGGCTCGCGCGTCTCCCACAGCTACCCATGAAACACATCGCTCTGCCACCTGCCGAAACTGCACACGAAGCTTACGTCGTCGGCGGCGCGGCGGAGCGCGGTCGCGCCTCCAATGCGGGGGCTGCGGCCGCCCACCTCCCGGCGACTGAGGCCGTCCGCCAGGCCGCGACAACGAGAAACTGCTGCACCTCAGCGCGGGTGATCGGGTCGCCAGAACTCCAACAAAAAATTGCCTCCGCGTCTCTGACCCCAGGAAGCGCTCTGGGAAGTGTGCCTCCACCTCCGCCATCGCGCGCACGGGGCAGGGGTTGTTCGTGGCGCACTATTTACGGACCGACCCGAAACTGCACTAGTCGGTCTCGGAGTGGGCGATGTGGATCCCGATCTCACCCGCGTCGGCGACCGCGATGCCCCGCTCTCTGCGCCTTCTGGCTTCGACGACTTCCCCCCTTCGCATCTTCTCTTCTGACCAGGACCTTCCCTTCTGCACAAGGTACTCGGATACCCTGAGGAGGCGGAAGAAGGCGGCGCAGATCGCGGCCCACACAACGCACGCGTCGATCGCGCTAAGGCCGCTCAGGCTGCTGTCGAAAAGATAGCCCCGCAGCCAAACCATGAGCCTTGGCGCGACCGGCTTCTTCCTCAGCGCGGCGCCCCAGTGCCTCTCCAAGCCAGCGAGCGCGCTCCAGAGGCGCCGCCGGTAAAGGGGGGGCGGCCCGCGTTGCCGAGCACGAGGTGGGCGCAGCGCACCGCGAACAACTCGCGCTCGATGGCGCCTCGACCTTCTGCTGCTCCAGCCAGGCCCCATTGCGCTCGCCTCCTAACTCATGCCTCGCGGGCAGCACTAACTGAGCGCGGGCTTCTCCCAGCGCCAGCGGCTAGACCAGGGGCGCGACTGGCAACGCGGTCGCGTCGCCGCTGTCGCGCTTCTTCGGAGCCTAGGCGCTGCCAGCGGGCCAGTCCAGCTAGCTGGACGGCGGCCGCGTCGGGCGCATTCTCAGGGCCTTGGATGGCGTCGTCGTCGATCTGCTTGAAGCGGACCCGCTGGCCCTTGCGTCTGTTCCTGTGGGTCTCGTCACTCAGGCGCCTCCAGCCCCAGACTTGGCCTCAATCGCGGCCGCTGGTTTGCTGGGCAACCTTGCCCAGGCGCAGAACCCCCCCTGCGCGGCCGCCCAGGCTGCTTGCTCCCCGGAGCCCGGCAGACCCCAGCGCGGCCGCGGGTCGCTCCTTAGAATGCTCAAGGATACTAAGTTCAAATTTCGAGAACATGAATTTTATATTTTTAATATATATATATATATATATATATATATATAAAAACTGCCGTCGATTTGTTGTTCCAACTAGCCCCCCCCGGCGCGCCGGAACTACTCTCTAGCTTGACCGCTTCGCTCTTAGGGCATCTCTACGAGTCGCTAGCTCCACCCTGCGCCGGAATTCCTCTAGCACATCGATGCCGAAGAGCTCTACGAGGCATCTCTCACAATCTCGAAAATACAAACCCCACATCACATTGTCCGTTGTGGCCAGATCGGCCAACTAGCTCCACCCCGCGCTCGACTTCCCCTTAGCTCATCTCGACACAGAGCTCTACGAGGTACTTCCGTCGAGATTTCTCCGCCAACTAGCCCCCCAGCGCGCCAAAATTACTCCAGCTTTGCAGCTTCGCTCCTAGGGAGGCGCTACGAATCACTAGCCCGCCGACGCTGTGAAATGACTCCAGAGCTTCGCCGCTTCGCTCATTGGGGAGCTCTACGAGTCAATACTGTTCCCTGCAGTCGGCCGTGTAATTTTCAAGGCTCTAGGTGCAGTTTTTCGATCGAGAAACACTTGCGGGAAAAGTCTCGCATGAAGCACGGAAAAAATAAATTGTGCGAGTTGTCAAGCTGACATTCGAGAATACCTCTCCTCGCTATGTGACACTGATTTCCTGAGTCGAGAGCTCTACGAGGGACCCAGCGGTAACCTGGTTGGCGGTGCACCGCCGGCTCCCAGTTCCGACAGCTACGCTGCGCACTTATAGTGAGGTTCATGCACACGCATATTCTTCCTTGCCAGAAACTCAGGATGACGCAGCTATGTTTGTTTGGTAGCCGCGCTTGATCGACGTCGAACAAAAACGACATGGATTGTCAACAATATTCTGACTCATTGCCCAGATACACTGGGAGCCGGCGGTAAACCGTCAACCTTGGGCACCGCCGGGAACTCGTAGAGCTTCCTCGTGCAATGCGGACGCGGCAATCTCGCATTCCGCGCGCGCGCGGGTCAGCAATATCAGAAGAAGGAGGAAGAAGGGGGAGAAAGAGGAGAAGAAGCAGATGGAGGAGGAAGAGGAGGAGGCGAGGAGAAGAAAGAGGACGAGGAGCAGAACTACGCAGATGTGTTGTTCCACCTCAGGCAGCCGAGTACGATTAGTTTTGTTTGGTTCCAACTCTGGAAGCAGACCCAGTACGGGCATCTCGATACTTGAGACTAGCGCGTCTCCTGATTTTCTTCCAATCGCTGCGCCAAAGAATTCCGCGGCTCATCTGCAGCTCGAGTGATCGAAAGAAAAAGACCGTCACTTCTGGAAAAAAACAGAGTACGAATAATTCTTTCGGATCCAGCTCTGGTAGCAGACCGAGTTCAGGCATCGAGATACTTCAGACTAGCGCTTATGATCAATTCCTTCCGATTGATATGCCAAACAGCTCTGTAACTCATCTGCAGCTCGAGATAAGTCAAGAAAACCATCATCCTCTCAAAAAATCAACACGGTGCACATAGTTGTTCGGACCCAGCTCTGGAAGCAGACTGAGTTCGAGCATCTAGATACTTTAGACTAGCGGTTACAATCCTTTCCTTTCGATTGCTGTGACAAACAACTCTGTAGCTCATCTGCGGCTCGAGACAATCAAGAAAACCATCACCATCTCTACTAAATTCGAAGAGCACGAATAGTTGTTCGGACCCAGCTCTGGTAGCAGACTGATTTCGAGCATCTAGATACTTCACACTAGCGCTTCTGTTTTTTATATTTCGATTGCTGTGCCCAACAGCTCTGTAGCTCATCTGAAGCTCGAGTTCAATCACAAAACTCATCATCATCTCCCAGATAATTCGCATAGTACAAATACTTTAGCGGACCCAGCTCTGGTAGCAGACCGAGTTCAGGCATCTGGATACTTGAGACTAGCGCGCCTGATTATTCTAGATGGACTAGGTGTGCCTGCCAGCTCTGTAGCTCTTCTACAGCTCGGGTTATAAACGAAAACCGACAGCACCTGCCCAGATGACACTGAAAAGCCGATCCCGCATGGATGCCTTGTGGCAGTAATAAGTACCCAAACGACCCGAGATTAAGATGGCGAGCGGGAATAAGATCGAATATGGGGGGAACTATACTAAAGCTCTAACGAATGTTCAAATTTCGAGAAGTCGAATTTACACCGAGCAGAAAAATGCAAAACTTCCGTCGAGATCTGTCTAGACCCCCAGCGAGCCGGAACTGGGAGCCGGCGGTAAACCGTCAACCATGGTTACCGCGGGGAACTCGTAGAGCCCCCTCGCGGAATGCGGGCGCGGCAATCTCGCAGTCTGCGCGCGAGGGCGCAGCTTCATGGAGGAGGACGTGGAGGAGAAGAAGGAGCGCGGAGGAGAAGGAGATCGAGAAATGAGGAAGAGAAGGAAAAAGAAACAAGAGCAGGCGGTGAGCAGATGAAGGAGCAAGGGGAAGAGGAAAAGGAGAAGAAGGAAAAGCACGAGAAGCAGGAGTACGAATAGTTTTTTGTTCCAGCTCTGGTAGCAGACTCATTTCAAACATATAGATACTTGCAACGAGCGCTAACGATCACTGTCGTCCAATTGCTGCGCCGAACAGCTCTAATATCTGTCGTTCTCTCTGGGAAAAAAACACTGGTGCACGAATCGCTCTTTGGCTCCAACTCTGGGAGCAGACCGGATTCAGACATCTAGATACTTCAGACAAGCGCTGATGAACAATTCCTTCGGGTTGATATGTCAAACAGCTCTGTAGGATTGCTGTGCCAAACAGTTCTCTAGCCAATATGCAGCTCGATTTGTATCAAGAGACGCATGATCATCTAAAGAAAAGCAGAATACCAATAGCATTTCGGACCCAGCTCGGGTAGCAGACAACGTTCAGGCACCTAGATACTTTAGACTAGCGCTTCTGATGATTTCATTCCAATTGCTGAGCCAAACACCTCCGCAGCTTATCTGTAGCTCGAGTTCCATTTAGAAAACCATCATGATCTCTAGGGAATTAGCAGAGTACACATAGTTCTTCAGACCAGCTCTGATAGCAGACCTAGTTCGCGCATCTGGATACTCGACACTATCGCGTCTGATCATGTTTCTCCCCACTTCGGTGCCAAACAGCTCTGGCGCGCACTGCAGCTCGAGTTAAGCTGAGCAAACCGTCATTATCTATGGAAAAATAACATAGTACGAATAGCTTCTTGGTTCTAGCACAGCCAGCAGACCGAGTTCGGGCATCTAGATACTTCAGACTAACGCGCCCGAGGATTCTAGATGGATTGGGCGCGCCGGCCAGCTCTGTAGCTCTTCTACAGATCGAGTTCAAGACAGAAAACTGGCAGCATTTGCCAACATGACACAAAGCAGCCGATCCCGCCTGAATGCTGTTCCGCATTAACATGTACCCGCTCGATCTGAGATCGCGATAGGGAGCGGAAGCAAGATCGGAAATGAAAGGAAACAAGTACTTGAGCTCTAACGAATGCTCAAATTTCGAGAAGTCGAATTTCATCCAAGCAAACGCACGCAAAACTTCTGTCGGTATTTTTTGCCAACGAGCCCCCAGCGCGCCGGACTTCTCCGGTCGAAAACCCGGATAGCAAAAAGGCACTGAGACTTGTTGGCGTCCAAAACCGGGATAGCGGAGGCAGCTGGGCGGCAGTTGTCGGCGGCGGGCGGCGGCGGACGCTGGCGGCAGCGAAGGGCGGCCATGGGAACGCTGAAATGTAGCCACGCCAAGCGGCTATCCGGGAATTCACGCGAGCAGTGGAGCGCTGGGAGACCTCGAAACGACGCTTCAGGGCTTGGAAACGACGCTTCAGAGCGCGCGGAAACGACGCTTTGCGAAGCTCTGCCAAAGTGCTTCGCGCACCCTGGAGCCACGCGCATTACAAAAAGCTCGGAAGCCACGCTCCTGGACACGCTGGAGGCTCAAGCAACCTCCCGCAGGGATTCTGGACCGCTCTGGAGAAACTGCTGGCGGGCACCATCAGCCTCCTCCGGCTTCTAATCTAAAACTATGAGCCGGCGGAAAACCGTCAACCTGGTTACCGCCGGGAACTCGCAGAGCTTCCTCGTGCAATGCGGGCGCGGCAATCTCGCATCGCGCGGGAGGGCGCGGTTTCATGGAGAAGGACTGGGGGAGAAGAAGGAGCGAGGAAAGGAGGAGTAGGAGCAGGACAAGCGAGAAAGGATCAAGAAACGCATCGTCATCTCTGAAGAAATTAGTAGAGTACGAATAGTTTTCTGGTTCCAACTCTGGAAGCATGACGAGTTCGGGCCTCTGGGTACTTGAGACGAGCGCGTCTGATGATTTCTATCCTGACAGCTCTGCAGCTAATATGCAGTTCGAGTTACCTCAAGAAAGTTACCATCATCTCTCTAAGACTGTAACAGAGTAGAAATAGTGTTTCGGATCCGGCTCTGGTAGCAGACCCAGTCTCAAGATACTTTAGACTAGCGCTTCTGATTAATTCCTTTCGACTGCTGTTCAGTCGAGAAAAACTCATCATCTCCAAATTCAGAGGAGCAGCAATAGTTTTTTTGAGTGCAGCTCTGGTAGCAGTCTGACTTTAGGCATCTAAATACTTTACGCTAGCGCGGTTGATGGTGATATTTCGATTGCTGCACCGAACAGCTCTGCAGCTCATCTGCTCGAGTTAAGTATCTAGATGCCGGAAAGTCTGCTACCAGAACTGGGCCCGCAAAACTGATTTTCTGTAGATAACTCGATCTGCAGATGAGGTACAGAGCTGTTTGGCACAGCAGTCGGTAGAGACTAA